TTCAATCTCTAATAAATTTTAGTTACAAATCTCAGTATCTGCTGACTTAAACTGAAAAATATCTGACCCTAAAGAAGCAAAAGATTGGGCAATCACTTTCTCATGCAGTTTCCTGTTTATAAAGAGTAGACATTCTTAATATGTAAAGTGCTAATCATATATTTCACTGATGGACTGAAAGCTCAAAATCACATCAAGTAAGATGTATGACGTTGCACTAATGAACTTCATGAATTTCATACTCAACACATTTTTAAGTGATCCTGCCACTCTTCCAGTAGCAATAACTATTGTTCTCTTCTGCACCTCCAAGATGTCAGAGCAGTGGGGCATCTTCAGAGAACTGGTGACATGTGTTGCTCTCTTCAAATCAGTGACTGGTGCCATATTGTGTTAGAAATAAGATATGAATCAGTGCTAGTTTACCAAAGAAGGCAAACTTTACCAAAGGAGTTCAACTAGCACTGATTAATATATCATTACTGACACCAGTAAAGTTATACTATTAGATCAAACAGTGAAAGATGTTCAATTTAAGCATATTCACAGGAATATCTGATGAGATAATGAATATTAAGGAATTTCAAAGCAATCTAAAAAAAAGTTGGAAAAGCTTTTAAAAAGTTGGGGGAAAAATCACCTCCACAGTATTCCATAGTATATATATGCCACATTTTCTTTATTCAGTCTATCATTGATGAGCCTTTGGGTTGATTCCACATCTTTGATATTGTGAATAGTGCTGCACGTGAACATATATGTGCATTTATCTGTGTCACAGAATGATTTATATTCCTTTGGGCATATATCCAGTAATGGGATTGCTGGGTCAAATGGTATTTCTGGTTCTAGACCTTTGAGGACTCACCACACTGTCTTCCACAATGGTTGAACTAATTTACATTTCCACCAACAGTGTAAACACGTGGCATACTATCCAGCCATAAAAAGAAATGAGATAATGTCTTTGCAGGGACTTGAATGCAGCTGGAAGCCATTATCCTCAGCAAACTAACACAGGAACAGAAAACCAAACACCACCTGTTCTCCCTTATAAGTGGGAGCTAAACAATGATAACACATGGACACAGGGAGGGGAACATCACACACTGGGGCCTTTTGGGGAGATGGAGTGGAGGGGGAAAGCATTTGGCTTAATACCTAGGTGATAAGTTGATAGGTGCAGCAAACCACCACGGCACACATTTACCTATGTCACAAACCTGCATGTCCTACACATGTACCCCAGAACTTAAAATTTAAAAAAATCACCTCCATCCAAACAACAAGAAAAAGCTGGATAAACTACAAACTCCTACCAGACAGCCTGAAATCCAAGAATGGGGCAGCCCCCATTCTGAGAAGAAAAAAAGATTACAGATTGTCCCAACTGTAGTAGGGCATAGGAGGAAGGAATACAGAACAAATAAAAACATAAGAAGAAACGAAGTATAACTTTAATAATTTGCCAAAGACCAAATGCATGCCAGCATAATAATACAGAAACACTGAGAGCCCCAAACACAAGGTGAATTCACATTGACTCTCAGACTCTTTTGCAAGGGCCCTCACTTTGCACATAAAGATTGCAAGAGGGCAAAAGACTAAAGAGCCTAAGTCACAGAGGAGGGGACTGATCACCACTGAAGGAAAGCAAGAAGTTCTACCGTCCTTCCCAAACCCTTTTCTCCCATGGAGCAAAGGACTTAAGCTGCTGCAGAAGGAGAATCAACCCTGTTGACCCAAGGACACAAATACACATCCATCCTTGCTGAAAGATGAGTAAAAGAAAAAACCCTCTACAACTGGGAGAGGGGCAAACAAGAGTCCTTTCTCAGAGTGAGGGAGAAAACTGTCTTCCACAAAAGACCAGCCACAGATACAAGGCTGCCATGAACAGGAGGAGCCAAAATTCTGAGAATGACCCACCCTCAAGGCCAGGCACATAGGGCCTACCTAAGATTGCTGCTGGACTAGAAAAAGAGAGAACTGGCTGGGCATGGTGGCTCACACCTATAATCCCAGCACTTTGGGAGGCCGAGGCGGGTAGATTACCTGAGGTCAGGAGTTAGAGACCAGCCTGACCAACGTGGGGAAACCCCGTCCTCCCCCCACCAAAAAAAGAAAGAAAAACAGAGAACTACCCTGCATCTCGTCCCTTGAACTGAGAAACAAAACACAGTATTCTACGGCTGGAAGTAGGGCAAGAGCATGGAGAGGGGCACCCTCTTAAAGCACAAGTGTGCTGGAGCACAGGAAAACAGGCGTAGAACTATTACATAAGAAAGTGTCTCTGGCATGATGGTCCCACAATAAGCACAGAGCATCTTTAGAGAAATCTGAAGCCTGTGAGGCACTGAAGGTAACCACAGCAAAAACAAAACCCAAACTCTCCTCAATTCCTAAGTAATGCAAATCCCACAATAAAGAACAAATAATAGAAAAAGGTGCTCATTTCAAGGTGTAAATACTATTTATCTTAGTATCTACTAATCTGCATATAATATTTGGCACCCAACAGAAAAAAATGACAAATGAAAAGAAAACCAGAATTATCATAAACAGGAATAGACCAGAGATGCCCCACTTGTTGGAACTACCAGACAGGAATTTTAAATAACTATAACTTTGACTAATATTTTTAAAAAAAACCTAGAAAGGTAAAAAGATAAAATGTGTTAATAGAAATTTCAATAGAAATGAAAACTGAGTCAAATGGAAGAGCTACAAATAAAAAATATAAAATCACAGATGAAAAATTTCTTAGGCAGAATCATCAGTAGATTCAATAAAGCCAAAGGCAAATGCAGCAGATTTGAAGCTAGGCCAATGAAAAATACCCAAACTAAAACACAAATTTAAAAAAAAAAAAAGTGAAAAAAAATAGAGTATCCAAAAGCTGTGGGATAAAACCAAATGGTCTAGCGTATGTATATTTGGATTCCCAGATTCCTAGAAAGATACTAGAGAAGAAATAGGGAAAAATAAATAATTTAAGAAATAATGGACAGAATGTCTTTTACAACCTAGTCTCAAAAGTCATATACCACCAGTTTCGCCATATTCTACTGGTCCCAAAGACCTATCCTGACACAATCTGGAAGGGGTCTACAGAAGGGCATGAATACCAGCAGGCAAGGATAACTGGAGACCATTTTGAAAGCTGGCTGCTACAAATCTGGTGAATGGATAAACAAACTGGGATACCCATATCGTGGAAGAGTAATCAACAATAAAAAGGAACAAACTACAGATATGTGCGACAGCAAAACTCACAAGTGAATCATGCTACATGAAAGAAGTTAGACCCAATAAGCTACACACAGTATGATTACATTTATATTGGCATTCTGGGAAAGGTGAAACCAAAGGGACCCAAAACAGATCAGAGTTGTCAGGGACTTGAAAAGGCACAGAAGACATAAGGGAACTTTGTGGAATGATGACAATGCTATACATTTGATTATAATGATGCTTACATGACTGGCATGTTTGTAAAATTCATAGAACTCTACACTTAAAAAGGATGAGTTTTATAATATATAAATTATACCTCAATAAAGTGCTCATAAAAGGAGAAAGAAAGGAACCTTGAAGGGAAGCAGAGGAGGCTTGGTTGAGAGGATGGCTATAGGAGTCTTAATGTGTAAATAATAAAAGTTTCTGAAAGAAAGATGACTGAAAACTAAACAAATAACATTATAAAGTCCCTCAAGCTAAAGACATTTCTCTAACCTTTAGTCTGCAGATGAAAACTGCCTACCAAATTATGTGTTATGGGGGTGAGAAAATATATCCTGGCAAAAGTTATGAACTCAAGAATAAAGAGAAAAATCTTAGATGCATTCAGGAAAAAAACAAGTTACAGTACTTAGGAAAAAAAAGAGACAGGCATAGGCCTTTCTACCTACAACATGGCAAAAGAAGATAGTGAAAAAGCATTCATAAAGAAAAGAACTGCCACTCAGGAATTCTGTCCCAACGAAAAATAAAAGGAAAGTATTTTGGTATATGTTAGCATTCACTTATCCAATTGAGAGAAATAGACAAAAAAAAAAAGCTAACTAAGAACTGAATCATAGCAGAGATGGGGAGGAAAAGAGAGGAGACCTTATGACATATGTAGTTAAATCTAACTAGGGATTAGTAAAGAAACTAGACAGAGATATATGATAAAAAAAATTCCAGTGCATTAGAATTAAAATAAAGCATCTAAACAAAAGGAATGTTAAAATCAGACCAGTGTACAGTAGTATCTTTATCCGCAGTTTCACCTTCTGTAGTTTCAGTTGCCTTTGGTCAATCACGGTTCAAAATATTAAATGGAAAATTCCAGAAATAAACAATTGGTAAGTTTCAAATTGTGCACTGTTCTGAGTAGTGTGAAGAAATTTCTCACCATTTTGCTCCGTCTCACCCAAGACATAAATCATCACTTTGTCCAGCATAACCACACTGTATATACTACCCCATCATTAGTCATCAACATCATCCGTTCCTGACATTCAATTAATAAACATCATTATGGCTTGATGATCCAGGATCACCAGAAGCAGATGCTTCTCCTTCTGAAGTACTGTCATAAGGTTAATAGTAGCCTAACACTACATCACAACACCTATATTATTCACCTCGCTCCCTCTCATCACATAGACATTTTATCTCTCATATCATCACAAGAGGAAGGGTGGATACAATACAATATTTTGAAAGAGAGATCACATTCACAAAACTTTTATTACTTTCTTACTACTTCTATTGTTATAATTGTTCTATTTTATTACTGTTATATTGTTAATCTCTTACTGTGCCTAATTTATAAATTAAACTTTATCACAGGTATTTATAGGAAAAAACATGGTATTAACATAGAAAGAGTTTGGTGCTATCCATGGTTTTAAGCATCCATTGGGAGTCCTGGAACATACCCCTGAGATAAAGGGAGATGACAGTATAAGGAAACTGCAAGTGACTATTTTCAACAGCTTTTTCATTTTTACCTGGTTTGCAAGATGAGAGTGACCAAACAGCTTGTGACCCAATTTCCCGTACTGTTCCAGTCCTTTCCAACTGCTTAGGGTCAGCACCAGGAGGTGTCTTGTTTGGTGTGGTCATTTTTAAAAATATTCTATGTGGAAAAAAGAACGCACACATTATACCAGGAGCTGAGCATCTTTCTATGACAGGTTTTTACCAATAAAAAATTTAATGGCATTCATATACCCTGATAGTAATCATTTATTCTCAGATGCAGTTAATATAATTAAATCACTGTAATTTAACTCTTAGGTGCTGGGCATGGTGGCTCACACCTTTATCCCAACACTTTGGGTGGCTGAGACAGGAGGATCATGTGAGCCCAAGAGTTCAAGACCAACCTGGGCAACATGGCAAGACCCCATTCCTATTTTAAATAAATAAAAATCTTAGGAATTCAGGTTTTATTTCATATGACCAGATATGCAAAGCAGCGAGCTGTCGTAGTCAAAAGACCACAGAATCAAAGCTTTGGCTTCAGTATCTCCTTTAATTGGCCTAAACTTTGAGTAAGTCTGGGCTTTATTTCCTCTCCTGTCAAAGAGGTTCACTTGATGATTTTTAATTATATAATGTTGTGCAGTTCTATACTTCTATGACTAAAAATTCAAATGACTTTTAGCCCTAGACAAGTCAGATTGAAATACTCTTATACTAGGAATATGTAAACATTGATCCTCATTTTATTAACCAATTTTTTTTAGAGACACGATCTAGCTATGTTACCCAGGCTGGTCTTGAACACCTGGCTTCAAGCAATCCTTCCACCTCAGCCTCCCAAGTAGCTGCGATTACAAGTGTAATCCCACTGCCCCCCACCAAGATCCTCATTTTAAATATTCATTGAGTGATACAGAGATACATGCCCTCTAGCTGTCAAAAGTTTCATTTAAGGCCGGTCCTTAAACGAAACCTGGTGGCTCACACCTGTAATCCCAGCAGTTTGGGAGCCCAATGTAGGTGGATTGCATGAGCCCAGTAGTTCAAGACCAGCCTGGCCAATATGGTGAAACCCTATCTCTACAAAAAAAAAATACCAAAAAATCAGCCTGGTGTTGCAGCACGCACCTGTAGTCCCAGGAAGGCTGAGGCAGAAGGACCACCTGGGGTAGGGGGTGAGGGCGCCGGAGGTTGCAGTGAGCCGAAATCGTGCCACTGCACTTCAGCCTGGGTAACAGAGCCAAACTCTGCCCCAAAAAAACAAAAATAAGAAAAATGTTAAAAAGTTCTATTTACATATGGCCTTAACATAGAAAATAAAGTCAGGAAAATGACTCCAGGATTATGAAGTAACTGGCCCATTCTAAAAAAGTCGACTTCATCTTTCACATCTTTTGTTAATTTTAGTAAGTCTATGCAAACGTGAAAAAACACTTCAATATTGGATCGTGAAGAATATGTAAAACTGCTTTGGTAGCACAGTTACTGCTACTGAACATTATTATACTTGCTATTCAAAACAGGTGCAATACTTCTGCATACCCTCCTTTCCTTGATACCTCCCATGTATCCAAAGTTGTTCTCTAATCAGCACACAAGCACGTGATACTCACTAAATAACCGCAGAGACAGTGGACTGTAAACTTTAGCAAGGCCTAAGGCTTAGATGCTCAATAGGTAATTTACTGAATGAATAAACAGATGAATAGGTTCAGTCATGAACTAGTTGTCATTTGCCTGCAAGTTAAGTGAGATCTAGGACGAATCTATCCAACTTGCAACCACTATTACTAACTGAACGTCCTGTCATCTAAGAAAACAAAGAAAGAATGTCCATCTCCACTTCAGGGCAGAATTTAACTGCCGGCCTTGGGACTGGACGCCACCAAGTGGATAAAATACGGAGCTGGGAGAAGATTGGATTCCCGGCCTTGAACTGACCACACAGTTGAGAAGGAGCTGAGGCCCAGGAGAGCGCGCAACAGCAAGCCGTGTCGGGACCAGACTCTGTTGGTCCTACTGATACCTCTAGCGTGCCAGAATGACTAAGGCTCCACTCCCGACCCACCCGCCTTGATGAGAGCGCGAGCGTAAAAAAAGATTGAAACTGGGAAGGAGAATGCATCTGTTTACGCTAGGACCACGCTCCACGTCGGAGAAAAGCCAACACACTTACAGTTTCCAGGCCTGGCTGCTGGCCGAAACTCAGGTTCTGAGGACCTACAGCAGCTACGTGCCACTCCCACTCAGCTTCCTAGGATAGCCTGGCTTCCCCAGCGGCGAGGAACAAGGGTCGCAGTACAATGACGTCATCGGGCCCTACCTACCTCCAGGGTTCCGCCTTACGCTCTCTGTCGCGCGCGCGCACTACATCCTATGGCTTGCGCGAGTGGCGGCTGGGCACCGCCATTTTGGCCGGTGGCCGTGAGAACACGCTGTGTGGCTGAAAAGTGAAGACAAGAACTGATTTGGCCTCTGCGCTCCCCTCCGCAAGGGGATCGTTTTCTCCAGGTACGTGAATCGCCCGGAGAGGTTTGGTTGTTAGCTGCCATCTGCCGGGCTGGAAAGACTGTAGGGACGTTCTCCGAGAGCCTTTGGTTAGGCCTCAGGTGGCGGAGACGGTAGCAGCGCGTGGCAGCGGCTCCTGCGGGACTTCTGGAACTGCTGGAGCGCGGGCGACGCCGAGACTTTGGGGGCGCCTCGATCTTCCCCTCCAGCCCACCTGGCTGTCCCCGCTGTTGCCTGCCACGCCCGCTGGGACTTCGAGAATGGACCTAGATGCCGTAGTTTCCACTCCCTGTTTACCCGACTCCTGCCCTGGAGCCAAACCTGCTGCAGAGGAGGACACCCTTAGAACTTACAGCACCCTCTAGTACCCCCACACTTCCCTAGCACACTAAAATGGACATATTGTCATATGTGCGTATTTGCTTGTGGGAAGTCGTGGCTTCCACGTTTTAGTGAGTGAATGAGTCATGGCATCTTGCCGCCATGAAGTCGAATACTCCGTGTCCACTCCCAGGCTTTATAGAAATGATGCACACATGTCGCTCTGCTTTTCTCAGAACAGTGTGTACGCAGCCGTAACGGGTTATCCCCATTAATTTCCCACTTAAAATCCTATAGCTTTTTTGGTCCGCTTTTATAGCACCCGGCACTTTCTCCTCTTATTTGTTTTTCCCTTTATTGTATCTTATACTCATTGAAATCAAGGTTGGTGTCTTTACTCAGAATACCTTTATTATCTGTTCAGGGCTTCATACATTGTAGACATTTAATACGTCTTGTGAATGAATGACAGCCAAAGCCGAATTTCCACCTCCCATTAACTACATAAGCTTATTTTCTCTTTTTTGATGGTAAAATCTATAAGAGAAAGAACTGTCCAAATAACATATTTTATTTTTGTACTCCTTCCCAACAGAACTGCTAATTATTTATGATAGTGGCATTTATGTTGCAGTAGTTTGTCCCGCATTCTGAGAATATTCATTGTATTCTGACACCTGACAATAATGCTTTGTTAGTGTAACCAAAACCTCAGAACTTGTATTTTAACCAGAAGGTGTTTGGGGTTTGTGAGTTGTTTTTTTTGTTGTTGTTTTTTGGGTTTTTTTTTAACTGAGTTCTCTCCTGTTTTAAAAAAGGGAGGTTTTTTTGTTTTGTTTTTTTAGGAAGAGCATTTAACAGTTGGGAGGGAGGGGGAGAAAACAATATTTAGATTAGAGTTCCTTCTAAATGTCTTAAAACTCTGAAATGAGAGCCATGTACCACTCCTAACTTATACGTGTTTTATAAGTCTAATAAACTACAATAAGCATAGGTTAGAATGTTTCATGTGATATTAAAGATCATTGGTTAAAAGCAATCTTTGAAATGCTTTTACACAGCATTACAATTATTTTGGCTTTAGACTGTAAATGCTTCCAAATATACCTCACTTCCTTTTTTCCTTTTAGCTGGAAGAATGACACTGAGGGTCATTGTTTTAGTGTCAGTTTTTAAGCGTTTTTGTCTTCAAATCTGAAATATCCTCAAATCCTTCTTTGTTTGCAGGAGCCTGTTAACTATAACCTTCCTCTCCAAGCTTTGCTATGTCTAACTTTTCTGTTGAAAAGAAGTAGGGAATCTCCTTGCCCCAATTCTTGAAATTGATACAGAAGTTGAATTAAAAGTGTTCACACAGTTAATTAACAGTTCTATCCATGTTCATTTTTCTTAAATCCACTGCAATTTATCACTATTTTTATATAAATCAGTTGAAGAAATAAAGTAATGGGAGATGATGGGGTTAGATAATAGAATGCCTGAATGCTGATAAGAATGAGCCCGTGGAGAGAATAATTGATGATGTTAAAGACAGGAAGGAGAATAGTTGAGACATTCTTATGGAATGTCTTCTAGTGTACAAATGGTCTTAGCTAGGTAAATAAGTATATTGTGATTGCTGGTTGGCCTAAGGGTCCATTTGAGACGATGAATTTCAAGGGAGATTAGTCAGCAGGTTTTGTGGGGTTTTTTCCCTACCCATTTTCTGTTGTGTATTTGAAGGTGAAGAGCTGAATTTAACCAAGATGATGATTGAGGGTATTTTAGCTGGGTAAGAAGGGAAATAAAAATACCAAGAGCTGAGGGACAGTGGAAATATGATAGAATCAAGAGACAGTGAAAGGTTTGGAGAATGGGAGAATCGGGATTGTTGGGTTGTTGTGTAGTGGGGGGTGAACTGGAAAGATAAGAGTGGTGGTTGGAGAATACAGTATTTGAAATTGTGTTTATAGAGGGATTACAGTTACCGGTAATGATAAGGTCTAGGCTGTAACCAGAAAAATGAATGGCTAGATAGATAAAAATGAATGGTAGAATAGAAGGCAAGATGTTGGAAGAGAGTGGTTAATGATGGGAGGTTCATCTGTTAGCATACTGAAATCACCAAGAACTATGTCAGGACTTGTAGAAGAGTACGTGAAAGTTAGCAGGGGGATGAAATCTTCAAAGAATGAAAGGGAGTGATCTGATAGTCAGTACTAACTAAAGCATTTAGATAGTTGACATGCAAAACTTTTTAGGGAGGAGGGAGAGATAATAGTCTAGGACAGTATTGAGGAGCAAGATGTCTAATCCCCCTCCAAGCCTAATTGTATTGATGGATGTGAAAAAGACTTAAGATGTCTACAAGGGGAAGCAATGTATCACAAAAAAAAGAAAAATCAGGATTGCATATCACAATCAGAAAAAGCCAACATGGTATCTTTCTAAATGGACAGTCATGGCTTCAGATTCATTCATTACATATTGGAGTAAACTTGAGTATCAATGCACTTTTTGGAATACTTTACTTTAATCACCATTTTAAGGAAATTAATTTCTGAACCACTAAGCCCAATATTGTAAAAGATTTTTTTTTTTTTTTTTTTTTGAGATGGAGTTTCACTCATGTTACCCAGGCTGGAGTGCAATGGCGCGATCTCGGCTCACCGCAACCTCCGCCTCCTGGGTTTAGGCAATTCTACCTCAGCCTCCTGAGTAGCTGGGATTACAGGCACGTGCCACCATGCCCAGCTAATTTTTTGTACTTTTAGTAGAGACGGGGTTTCACCATGTTGACCAGGATGGTCTCGATCTCTTGACCTCGATATCCACCCGCCTCGGCCTCCCAAAGTGCTGGGATTACAGGCTTGAGCCACCGCGCCCGGCCTTGTAAAAGATTTTTAACTTCACTTTGATCTTAATGCTATGTAGTTGATTAAACCGAAATATCAACACTTATAAAAGCTTTAAAAGTGAACATAGTATATACATATAGTTACTTGGTCTCCTTTTAATTTCATTGCTATTATAATTTCACATCTCTATCAGTGTCATTATAGTCAGATGTACACAACATGAAGTAATGCTTAGTTTGGGGGAAGGGCTTGTAGAATTTCCTTATCCTCCTCAGCTTTTTCAGTTTTCCTGGCTATTAATACTTCTTTTTCCATTGGATCTTTAGGTTTGCTTTGTCTGAGTTGGTTTGTTTTTTGGAGACGGGGTCTTACTCTCATCCAGGCTGGAGTGCAGTGGTGTGATCTTGGCTCACTGTAACCTCTGCCACCTAGACTCAGGTGATCCTCCCACCGCAGCCTCTGGAATAGCTGGGACCACAGGTGCACACCACCACATGCCTAGGGTTCTTTTGTTTGTTTTTTCTCATGAGATTGAACTAAATATATAAATTCAGGAAAGGTTGAAATCTGTCATATTGACTGTTCTTATCAAAACTGAGATAGCATGTCATTTGTTCAGGTCATTTATGTCATTCGTTGTTGTTTTAAAGTTTTCTTGTGTATATAGCTTGTTAAGTATATTCCTAGATATTTTCTTTTTGTTGCTATTGTAAATGGCATTTTTTTATTTTCTTAAATAAATCTTCTGATCAAGGCATATATGTAAAATTTGATATTCCCAACCTTACTAGATGATAGATTATTTTACAATTTTTACTATTGTTTAAATTTATTTTATTTTTGCAGATAATTATTTCATCTCCATGTAATGATCATTTATGTCTTCCTGTCTTTCATGCGTGTGAATTAGTTCTCTTAACTAATTACATTAAATTTGTTACTTTTTCTTTGATAGAAGAGCTGGATATTCTTTCACACAGTTATGGCAGACAAATTAACAAGAATTGCTATTGTCAACCATGACAAATGTAAACCTAAGAAATGTCGACAGGAATGCAAAAAGAGTTGTCCTGTAGTTCGAATGGGTAAGCTGATCTGTGGATCATTTAAGCATAAAAGAAAACCATGAAAGAAGTAACTGGTTTGATAGTTCTTTAGGGCATTAGCATATACTTTGTGTTCACCATTAGTTTCATAAAACTGTGAAGGCAAGAAAACTAGTTTGTTCTAAACTCCTTTTATTGGATCCTATTTTTAAAAGAAAGAAGAAATCATAGAATAATGTATCAGTATTTAAAAGTATATGGGATGTGAACTCAGCAGAGTTCAACTTACTGATCTTGAATTCTACAAAGTCCTATAATTAATGGGGGAAGGGTTACAATAAACTTTGACAGGATTCTCATATTTAAAAAACAAGAACAAAGAGCTCAAGAATGACTGTTCATAAGGTTTAGCTGTATTTTGAAGATCAGATAAACTTCCAACAATTCAGTTGAAAAATTATTGGTAATCTTTAAGGGCTATGTTAAGTAATTGTAAATGTACTAATGAAGCGTAGACTTACTGAATCTTAGAAGAAACTTTAGTTCTCATCTGTTATTGTCTCCTTTGCTATTCAGAAATTCTGTTATCACTAATA